TAATGGCAATATTATATATTTAAACGAGTACATCTACATCTCTATCTCGCTTATACTGTGTTTCTAGACAGAAAGTAAGTCCAGCGTGGGAAAGGCACTATGAGCGCGCGCACTCTCCGTCACACTTCTCCTTGTGGCTGATTCATGCTTTCTAATATTATCTTCGAGCCACGCTTCTGTTTGAGAACCATTTGCCCTGCATTGCACCGAACATTTGCCTCTCGCCTTGATCGCGCCGCTGAGAACACAGGCTCACGGTTCCTCATCAATCTAGTGAAAAAAAGGAAAACAATTGGATATTACGTTAAAAAATATATAAATAGCGTATTATACGTACTAACTTCCCTTACCCTTAAAAAAGAGCTCTGGCCAAGATTGAATGCCAACGCTGTCTTACACATCCTTTAGAAAACGAAACACTTATAAAGGTTTTTTCTCCTTTTAATGGCCGTATTCTACTCTGTCACCCCCGGCTGGAAGATTCAGTGGCACCAACCATGCCCTTGCAACCTCAACCTCCTTGGGCTCAATGATCCTCCGCCACCCATTAACTTGTCAGCCCCCGAGTATCTCCTGCGCGACACAGGTATGCACCAACACATGTTCTGTGGCTATCTTCTCTGTAACATTCTTTTGTAGAAGATGGCGGTTTCACCATATTTGTCCGCTCCAGGCTGGTCCTTCAAGCTCCAAAGCACCGACAAGCAAAGCTTGCCGATAGTTCTTGGCCTCGCAAGCAAATAGTGCTAACTATATACAAGTGAGCAACTGGTTCTAGCTCAACTTTTTTCTTCCCAAGGAAGCCAAAAATGGGATAAAAAACATTAGAATACGCTTAAACGACAAGCCATTTTCCAAAAGAAGAAGGAACAGTTAAATATGGCGGTAAGTCTCAAATACGAACGGAGCAAAATTTGGTATAAACGACTTTCCCTTAAACTGGGCAAGCAGTAAGGGTGCGACAGGTGCTCACACCTGCATACTGCTAACAATGGGCTTGTATATTGTCCAGCACGTGGAGCAACCCAAAGCGCTGAGTGATCAACCGAGTCAAGGAGTCCAAACCATCCTGGACAATCGGTCGCAAAACCTCCATCAGCTACCAAAAATAAGCAAAAATTAAGCTGGCGTGAGGTCGAGCGCCTGTCATCACACAGACTTTGAAGTTGAGCGAATTGCTAACCGGGAGGCAAGGAGTTGCCGTGCCTGATATAGCGTCCACTGACTGCAGCCTGAGTACAGAGTAAGACTACCCTTTCACCCTACCAACAAAAAAAAAAAACAAAATCAAAAAACCCAAAAAAACCACAAAAGCCTGGGCAAGTACATAAAGACAATGACATTAAAAAAGAAAATTAATGCCACCACTTTTGGAAAGTAAGTGAATCTTTGGTATATATCTTTCAATAGCAATTGGAGACAAATGGTATTTGGGCTTAAAATAGTAAAATACAGATTGAGTATCCCTAATCTGAAAGTCCAAAACAAAAAATACTCCAAAATCTGAAACTTTCTGGGCACCAATATGATGTTCAAAGGAAATGCTCATTGGAACATTTTGAATTTCATATGCTCAAGTGGTAGAAATAATTTAAATATTCTAAAATTCAAAAAAATCCCAAATCCAAAACTGTTCTGGTCCCATGCATTTCAGATAAGGGATACTCAACCTATAACAGTTCTGCTAATAATGGTTATTCTTATTATATACATTATTCTACATGCTTTACACCTAAAAGTTCCTTTTTGAAATTCCACAATATTACAAACCTGCAGTGCACTTCCTATAACTATGTATATCATCTGAATTATTCTTTTCACAATCTAAGACAAGAACGAAAACTACATGTTGAGGTATTAGAAATTATAAGGCTATTACAATTAGTCACCATATTGCAAATTATGATTTTCAAAAATCCAACTTTAAGACATACGATCAAAGTTACCCTTAAAAGAATATGCCAGGCTGGGCGTGGTGGCTCATGCCTATAATCCCAGCTCTTTGGGAGGCCAAGATGGGAGGATTGTTTGAATCCAGGAGTTCGAGATCAGCCAGGGCAACATAGACAGATCTTGTCTCTACAAAAGACTTAAAAAGTTATCTGGGCATAGTGGCATGAACTTGTAATCCCAGCAATTTGGGAGGCTGAGGTGGGAGGATCACCTGAGCCAGGGAGGGGGAGGTTGCAGTGGGCTGTGACTGTGCCAATGCACTCCAGCCTGGGCCTCGTCTTAAAACAAAACAAAACCTTTTCTGAATTTTATTTCTGGTTTAACTGGCCTTATATTCTAAATAGGACTAAGCTTAGACAACTATAAGTAAATAGTCTATAATTTTCTTTTCTAATATTGTCCTTGTCAAGTTAATGTCCAAACTATACATGCTTAACAACATGTTTAATAACATTCTATTCTTTTTGATAATATGGAAAGGCATACAGTAAAATACTTATACTTTGAAAAGTTGAGAAATCATTCAAGAAATCCTCTGGTGGCTGCACTGAACCACTATAAAATTTTCTAAGGAGCAACTGGTTTAATTTTAGATTTACTTTTCCAAAGAGGAAATACTAAAAATAAGTTAATACTTTAATTTCCACTACTATTACTAACAATCTGAAGATATTTTTGTATACTATACCTTACATTATACAGTGCCTTACATTTTTATTTCCATCTTTTTATTTTCATATTTGTTTTTGGTCATGAAATAAAAGTAACAGTGACCATCCATTCAAGTGTGGATTAACTACTGTCATAAAGAACTTATTATAGGATATACTAGTATCACTGTTTTGTTTATAAATATGGTATGCTATTAACAATTTAAAAAAATGAGAACTATAAAGACACCAAGTGAAAATAAAGTCTGACTCATCTAGTTTGGTCAAAAAAGTCCTTATCTTCTTGCCATTAGAGCTAATATGCCCCGAAGGGATCTTAAAATATTGAAATATTTATGTTTTCAAAGCTGGTGACATTACTGTCATACATCTATTTTAATTCCATTCCAAAAAAATACATACATGTACATCCCCCAGCTTACTATATATATATAACTTCATCCAGATCTATGTTTATATATAAAACTAAGAAAACTACAAAATTATTAAATACATCATCTGAAGAGAAGAACTGATCAATGATCTCATAGGCCAATTTGTAGATGTCTTCATTTTCATGATTTTGAAGTTGTTCAATTTTCTCCAGTCCTGCAAGAAATTTTGTAATGTGAAACAACAGTAATATTTAAAGAGCAGTGACAAGTTAGAATAATCTTTGGAACACACAACCCAATTTCTGAATTGCAAATTTTTTGAATTACAATTTTTTGGAATTTAAAGGTGAATTTTAAATATAAAAAATCTTTATGCACAAAGATATAGCATATTTATTTTAAAATTAACAACCTGAGTATCTAACTGCTTGTAAATGTATAAGTAATGAGACATCTGCCTATTCATCAGAATACATAACCAATCTTTATAAGCAGTAATAACATGTAAATTTCCATTTGTTTAAGTAAGAAGCAGAATCTTCCTACTTTCCAGCACCTGCCAAGTTTTTCTACTGAGCATGTATGAAAAAAAAAATTAAAAATACTGGTGATTAATAAATATGATGCTTAAGATACCTGTTAAGTTTACTGGAAAATGATGAAGATCTAACACAGTATTTCAGGGGAAAAGATAATTTTCCCTGTAAACATTAATGAGAATTATAGGCAGAAACACTAAAAAGTACATACTTAACTTGCTGATATGCAAATTGGATCCTGTTTTACTTTAGAGGAAAAATAATTTTAAAGTCTTTGAAAAAAGTGAAATTGCCCCTTCATGAGTGTTCTTCCTCTATCCATTTCTTAAACGGAGGAAGTTATCTTAGCCTCATTTCTCACCTACACACTCATTGTGGTGATCTTCCCATTAAAAAATTTGGTTACTACATATAGGCTGAGGACTTGCAAATCTATAGCTTCATTTATTTTCTGAGCTTCACATGCATAAAATTAAAATGCTTGTGTAATTCTACCAGGAAATTTCATAGCTACCTAAAACTCAAACTGTCCAAAACACAATTTGTTATTTGCCTTCCTCATTTAAACAGTTCATCCTACAGTTGTATTCTTACTTGGTGATAATCAACAATAGCTTGAAATCTCAGAGAAAGCCCAAGTTCCCCTTTCCCTCAATATCCCACAATCAAACCTCAAAAACTTGAAAGTCCATCCACTGGACTTTAAATCTCCTCATCTCCCCTTTGTCTCTATTACTATGACTGCCTTCATTTATTATGGCTTGGCCCCTATATTCTTTCTTTCTTTTTTTTTTTTTTTTTTTAAAGACAGAGTCTCACTCTGTCGCCCAGGCTGGAGTACAGTGGCGTGATCTCGGGGCTCATTGCAGCCTCTGCCTCCTGGGTTCAAACGATTCTCGTGCCTCAGCCTCCGGAGCAGCTAGGATTACAGGTGTGTGTCACCACGCCCGGCTAATTTTTTATATTTTTAGTAGACACGAGGTTTCATGATGCTGACCAGGCTGTTCTTGAGCTTCTGGCCTCAGGTGATCTGCCTACCTCGGCCTCCCAAAGTGCTGGGATTACAGGTGTGAGCCACTGCGCCTGGCCATAAATACTTTCTTAACTGGTCTCTTCCTGCCTCCTGTCTTCATTTCATTTCAAGCCGTCATTCCAAAGGCTTCATTTCCCAGATATCCATGTTCCATCTGAACATATCCATCCCCTAGATCAATCAGCAATGGCCTGTCACCTCCTGTGGCACACTGGGGATTCCTGGGTCTTACCTCCAACGAGGTAGGCAATGTCCAAGAACTCATATTTTTATTTGAATGTATAAAGATATTTTAGTAATTAAAATGTTTACAAGTTAAAAAAAATCAAGTAGTAAAAATAATTAAGTATTCCTATTGTTATTTTTTTGTTACTTAATCCTTAATTAGTTCTGTAACACTATTCCCCATCTCTTGTTCCTAACTTGATAGTCACAGATTTTTTTATTGTTGTTGTTCTATCAGTCGCTTTAGTAATTTTAAGTATATCTTTTATTACATTAATTTTGAAGCCTCTCAACATTCCCACTTAGTTGAAGTTATGAGTTCTACTTTTGCAGTTACCTCTCTTTTCATTAACTTTTCACCTTCTGTCAGAAATACCTTTACTTTTGTGCTTATCCAGATAGATAACATTTACATTGTGTTACACAGCCACATTTGAAACTTTTATGTTCTGTCTGTATATTAACTCTAAGACTTGAAAGCTAATAAATATTGTTTACATTCCAGGAGGCTGTGGTACATGGCCATGTTTGGAAACTACTGCCCTAAAGAATAAAGCATCTGCTGTGCCATAAAGCTTCAGACTTCACAGGAGGCCGGGCGCAGTGGCTCAAGCCTGTAATCTCAGCACTCTGGGAGGCCAAGGCCAGTGGATCACCTGAGGTCAGGAGTTCAAGAGCAGCCTGACCAACATGGTGAAACCCCGTCTCTACCAAAAATGCAAAAAATTAGCTGGGCGTGGTGGCAGGCACCTGTAATACCAGCTATTCAGGAGGCTGAGGCAGAAGAATTGTTTGAACTTGGGAGGCGGAGGTTGCAGTGAGCCAAGATCGTGCCACCGCACTTCAACCTGGGAACAGAGCAACACTCTGTCTCCAAAAAAAAAAAAAGAAAAAAAAAGCCTTCACAGGACGCTGGTTACTTCTCCAGCTTTGTCTCTTGGTGGTTTCTACCCCATACTGTGTGATTCAGCAACACTGAACTACTTATAATTTGCTGAATGCTATTTCTCACCTCAGACTTTGCTCATGGTGTTATCTCTGCCTGGAACACCTTTCATCCCTTTTTACTTTATTAATCCTTATTCATCTCTCAAAATCCAGCTCAGGTGCACTTCCTGCTTCTTCCAGAATGGATTAGGCATCCCATTTTGTTGTACATTTCTATTAGGGTAATTAGCACATTACATCAGTTCATATTTATCAAGACTAGACTACACGCCTTGAGGTCAAGGACTGTGTCTTGTTTACCACTGTCTTCCCAATAACTTATCACAGTGCCTGTTCAATATATGGCAGCAATTCAGTTACCTAAGCATATGTAAGAGGCTGAGCAGGACTGTACATACAGAATGTAATACTGACTTTATTCTGTTACTTCAATATCTAAGACAGAAAAACATAGATGTGCTCTATTAGTCGGCAAATAAAGGTAGTTACAAAGAGAACTTTAAGAAGTGGAAAAAGAGCTTATAATAAACTTACCTCCACATTCTTCTATAAGATTGCCTATGGTTTCTGCCTCATCTTCAGCCATTTTTAATATATTACTTAGTCCATCGAGTACTACTTGCACAACTTGTGCATCTTTTACAGTCAGCAAGTTGCAAAAAGGTGGGATAACATTTTGCTGGATAAGGTAAGCCACCTGAAGAAAAAAAACAACATAAAATAATGCAATATAGGTAAACTTTGTGTGCCATGTTATCTCACTGGAATAATTCTGATTTTGAAATTTTGAGTATAGAAATATGACCTCATCTCTCTCATGTTAAGTGTGTCTACATTATTAATCTAACCTTTTTTTTTAAAATTTAGTTTCCTTTTTCCTGAACTTAGAAAAAAAAACATAAAGTTAAAATAAAGGAATCACTCAACTTCATATTAAACATTTCTTTGCCATAAGAAATATTTCCCTCAAAGATTTTTTTCCCTTTAAGAGTAGGAAATTATGAAATCAGTTAAGGAGGCTGTTAATGGAGGCTGTATGCTATTTTTATTTAATTAAATTAATTAATTTAATATATAGAGATGGTGTCTCACTATGTTACCCAGGATTTCTTTCTTTATTTATTTAATATACAGAGATGGGGTCTCACTATGTTGCCCAGGCTGGTCTTGAACTCCGGAACTCAAGAGATCCTCCTGCCTCGGCCTCACAAAATGCTAGGATTATATGCATGAGCCACTGCATCCAGCCTGGATACTAGTTTCAAAAAACTACAACGGTTCAATGTGACAGCATCCAGTGGCTCTCATGTGCCTGGCTACCTCTCAATTCACTATTCTATTGATTTCATAATATTTTCCAATGATTTCAATATTTCATTAGTTATAATCTCCATGCATTATATTAATATTTCTGTTCTGCTCTATATTTATGTGAATTCACTGATAACCACCAGTCCACAGCTTTTTTGTTACAGTTATCAATTTACTGCTATTCAACTCTAAATTTGTTTTTACCTACTCTGAAACAGATCTCACCTCTTTAAAACTGCTTTTCCTTTGCCAGTTGGCACAATGTTAAGCTTTGTCACCTGCATGACCTGAGAGTGGGTGCCTCCTTTCCTAGACATCTTATATTCCTCACCCTAGTTTCTAAGTCCTAGCCATCTGGTTGAGTTTTTAATTCCTTGTTTGGTTTGCTGCTGAATTTGTTATTGTTGCTGTCTTTTTACTTTTTGTTGTTGCTGTTCATTTGTTAGGAGAATCTGTGATGCAGTTTCTTTCTTCCATATTAACTTAAGAAGTCTGTTCATTTCTAATACTGTTAAAAAAAACCAAAAAATTCCTGACTATAGGGGCCTCAATTTTACCACAGATTAAAAAATTCTTGTAGGCCAACAAATTGGGAAAAAGAACACTTCTATGAAGTATGACTAAAGGAAGTCAAGGTGATACTTCTATGTGAAAAAGAAAGTTATATACCTGTTATATAAGAGTTAGTACCTCTTATCTTGCTATTATTTTATTTTTTTAATAGAGATGTGGTCTCACTGTGATGCCCAGGCCAGTCAAAAACTCCTGGCCTCGGGTGATCCTCCAGCCTTGGCCTGCCAGAGTGTTGCTATTATTTTAAATTATAACTTATTCAAATCTAAATCAAAATTACTTGTACTTTTATTTTACCAGTTTTGAGAAATAAATTTTAAAAAGCTCAACTTACTTGATCTTTCCTTCCACTAATTGTTAAGTTACTTATGGCCCAAGCAGCTTCTTTTTGAGTGCCAAAATCCCCCTGTAAAAAGGCAAAGCAAAAGGGTATAAAAATGGCCACATAAACTGGAAAAAATGTTTGCTGTGATGATTTTTCAACTGCTTATTTCCCAAGGTCTCCTTTTAGTCTTTCTGTATACATCATTTTTTCTTAAGATAGGTCTTTGAACTATACCTAATCTACCCTAAATACATGGAGACACTTTTCTGTGAACTCTCCTGGATACAAACTGAGTTGGTATTATTATTTAATAATATCAGATTAAATGAAGTTGGTGATAAAATGAAATAAAAATAGTAAAGAAAAAAATTTAAAAATCTACAGTATCACTAGAGTCACGTAAACTAACATATTCTTTTACACACAAAGCTTTTACATACAAAAATGATACCCACCATTAATGAAACTATGATCAAGATGTTATATATTGCCTTTCAAATATGAAATGAAGAAATATTTAAAAGTCATTAAAAAATACATATATATAAACTTCATAATCTCATTTTTGAGAATTCACCAAGAAAATAATATAAAGCAGAGTAATCCTTTCTATATATGGTTATCGCAGCACCGTAATAGCTAGAAAGTAAAAACAACTAAAATTCTCAATAAGCATAATTGTCTTATTATGGTAAATCTACTGAATAAGCAACTATTAAATATTAAGACAACTGGCAACCTGAAAAAATGCTTATGATGTATTAAAAAACCATATAAGTAAAAGAAATGCAAATTAAAATATCCATATCTCCTTTCATATTTATCAGAATAAGGAAATCTAAATATTTGTGTGTGAGGCTGGTAGGAGTATAAAATGGCATAATTCTTGTAGAGGGGAATTAGCCCTATAATAGCAAAATTTACATATATGTTTTTCTGTAGATCCAGTAATCTCAAATATAATTGGGCAAAAACATTAAAAAAACTTACAAGCTATTCTATTTTTTTTTTTTTTTTTTTTTTTGAGAGGATCTCACTGTTGCCTAGGCTGGAATGCAGTGGCGCAATCTCAGCTCACTGTAACCTCCACCTCCTGGGTTCAAGTGATTCTTCCACCTCAGTCTGCTGAGTAGCTGCAATTACAGGCATGTGCCACCACGCCTGGCTAGTTTTTGTATTTTTTGGTAGAGACGAGATTTCCCCATGTTGGCCAGGCTGGTCTTGAACCCCTGACCTCAACTGATCTGCCCGCCTCAGTCTCCCAAGTGCTGGGATTACCCCTGACCTCAACTGATCTGCCCGCCTCAGTCTCCCAAGTGCTGGGATTACAGGTGTGAGCCACTGCACCCAGCCACAAGCTATTCTTTTATTTATTTATTTATTTATTTATTTATTTATTGAGACAGGTCTTGGCCTGACGCCTAGGCTGGAGTGCAGTGGCACAATCTTGGCTCACTGCAAGCTCTGCCTCCTGGGTTCATGCCATTCTCCTGCCTCAGCCTCCTGAGTAGCTGGGACTACAGGCGCCCACCACCACACCCGGCTAATTTTTTGTATTTTTAGTACAGATAGGGTTTCGCCATGTTAGCCAGGATGGTCTCGATCTCCTGACCTCGTGATCTGTCCGCCTTGGCCTCCCAAAGTGTTGGGATTACAGGTATGAGCCACCGCACCCGGCAGCTATTCTTTAAAGTTCTGTTTAACAACAAACACTGGAGACATCTCAAATATCATCAATAATAGATTGACTTAATACATTATAGTGCATCCGTACAATGAAGTACTATGTAGCTATGAAAGGAGTAAGACAAACAAGGAATAAGAAAAAAAAAACCAAACAAGGAATAAAGTCCTCTATATAGTGCTATGGAAGTGACATTGTTTTTAAGTACATTACTCAAGAAATACATTCTAAAGGAAACCAATGTCAAAGAAATCTTAAAAGTACATTCAGTACTCATGCTGTCAGGGGCAATATGGCTTTGTTTTTTTTAATATATATGTATCAAAATATATATTTGCATCTCTTTTGTCTCATGCTGAAAATTAGGATAGTTTTTTTTTGGTCTTTGGGATATATGTCATCAATGATGTACTTAAAAATAATGTATATTGACATATAGCCACAGATCTATACATACCAATATATAAGAAAAATAATTATGTTAATGTTTTTAGGAAGATTTTCAGCATAAAAGAGATGTAAATATAAAATCACAGGAATAAAAATTAAAAACTGTTATGTTAAATATCCAATAATATTTAATAGCTTCCTTTCACTCATGATTCATTTTTTATGAACTCTCATGTTCCTGAACTCATCTTTCACTTTCTACAACAATGCCTATCATTTACTTGGTTTACTCAGACCTAGAAAAAATGACAACACTGTAACAATGATCATCTTTATGGACGAAATATGATCCTTAAACACCATTCTCTACAAAACAAGATCAAGATATCATAGAAAAATAGTTAATTCCAGTTCTAGATCAGAAAACATGTAAGATAGGCTGGGAATCATATCATATCCAAAAGGTGTAGCTCTCAAAAACTAGTGATAACATAAAAGACACAGGTCACCAATTCTAAGAGGTTCCTGTTGGTCAGGAACAAACAGAGTGTCAAAAAGAGTAAACTAAAATGGATTATAACTTGCAAAATATATTTTAAAAATTCATAATTTCCAAATGACACTAAAAAAATCTACTCTGGTCTGCTTTCAAGGTTATTAGGAAATGTGTCATTCTAAAAAATGACTGATAAGGACAAAGAATCAAACATTTATCTTGCCTATCCTAAATGAACTATATTTCAAAGTATTAATAAACAACAGCTGAGAAAGAAATGCTCTTGGCCGGGCGTGGATGGCTCACACCTGTAATCCCACCACTTTGGAAGGCTGAGGTGGGTGGATCACTTGAGGTCAGGAGTTGGAGACCAGCCTGGCCAACATGATGAAACCTTGTCTCTACTAAAAATACAAAAATTAGCTGGGTGTGGTGGCGTGTGCCTGTAGTCCCAGCTACTTGGGAGGCTGACGCACAAGAATCACCTAAACCTGGGAGGTGGAGATTGCCAGTGAGCCAAGATCGTGTCACTGCACTCCAGCTTGGGTGACAGCGAGACCGTCTAAAAAAAACAAAAACAAAAACAAAAAACAAGACAAGTTCTTTACTAAAGAATTATGGCCAATACACAAAAAATGACAGAATTAGAAAGTCACCATTTTGCAACTCCTAGTAAAACAAGGGACCCTAACAATGATCACCAATGGCTACCTAAAAACCATAGGTGAAAGATTAATGGATAACTTTATAACCATCAGCTGGAATAGGCTGTAACACCTGAGGTCAGTCGTCAATCTTAATATCACTACATGTAAGACAGATTGTGTCTCCTTATATAAATCATTAGGAAATAAGAGTTATGCATGACATATTCTTGCCTAAAAAACTGAACTCGATTTACAGGAAACAAAAACAGATTTATCTTCTCTTTAATTACAGATCAGTGTCAGAACCCTCATGCTGTGATTGTTTCTTCTACTTTGTGTGTGTGTGTGTGTGTGTTTTTTTTTTTTGAGACACAGTCTTGCTCTGTCACTCAGGCTGGAATGCAGTGGCATGACTGTGGCTCACCACAGCCTCAACCTCCCGGATTCAAATGATCCTCCCACCGTAGCCTCCTGAGTAGCTGGAACCACAGGTGCATGCTACCACACCTGGTTAATTTCTTTTTTTAAAAAAACTTTTTGTAGAGATGGAGTCCCCCTATGTTGCCCAGGCTGGTCTTGAACTCCTGGGCTCAAGTGATCCTCCTGCTTTGGCCTCCCAGACTGCTGGGATTATAGGCGAGAGCCACTGCACCCACCCTCATGCTGTAATTGCGATAAGCTGTTTCTCCCAAATGCTAATATGAGCATGAGAGATGATAGGAAATATATGGCATACAATAGCATACTTATTTCCTATCTGATTTTGGACAATTTATTTGTCTATACCAGGGTTTCTTCATCTATCAAGTGGGGATAATCCCTAATCTTATAGGCTTAATCTCATTAAATGAGGTAATGTATGTAAAGTGCTTAGAATACTATGTAAGCATTTATTATCAACAGTAACAATATGAAATTTTAGTATGGCCTACGATAATGGCAATTTTGGTAAAAGAATGATACAGAGAAAGGGCTAGGATTTGCCCCCAACCTCCCAAAAAGTTTCTTGTATATAAAAACTGCTAGGTTCAAAAGTTGTAATGTTAATATTACTTTACTGTATTCATGCCACTGTATAGCTTCTAATTAAACAGAAAAGTATAAATTCACATAATGTCTTAGATTTAAATCCCCTTCCCCTTACATCAGATACACGATACATACAACATGATTTTCTTACCTTATCCAAAAGGTGTATTATCATTGGTACAAGATTGGCATCAATTACTGCTTGTACCTGCTGCTGATTTCCTGCAGTGATGTTGGAGAGGAACCACACTGCTTCCTGTAAAACAAGAGCATTTGAATATTTCTCATTAAAAAATAAAATGTGCATATGAACTAAGAAAAAAAAAAATTCACTACACTGTCCCAATGATTTTATTGTGAAATGAGCTCCATAATAAAAATATCAGGAATCTCAATTCCTTTACACCCCCTTTCCATATTTTCTTTGGACAAATAGCTAATGGACCTAATTCAAATCACAATGAACTAATTTCAAGAATTCTGAAGAATTCTTGAAAACAATGCTCCCAAATAGTGTGACTCAAAAGAAGCTTGGCTGAAGAAATTTGAGTGAGCAAATATGAAATAATGAATGAGCAAATATGAATGAGTATAATACAAATCCTAAAACAGCTGTAAATAAGATTCAGTGCCCTTCCCTCACATAATGTGCTTTATTCTCCATTCTATTCTGATGAAGAATGTTAGCTGAAGCAGATAAATATCAATTACCCACAATAATGGAGACATAAAAAACAAAATAGTACATTGTTTTAGTATACTTATTTGTAATAGTCATTCACTGCATCATTTCTCTCAAGGAAAAGTAGAACCAGATGTTTGATTGCTTTATTGGTCTATCTTAATAATCTTTTTATGTTACCCTTTACATCACAGTTGGTGCTACTTCTGACAAGATAATGGTGGCCTTAAGCGTTATAATCACAGATAACTAGTAAGTTTTACTCTAAAAAAATTTGTATTAGCTAATGTATACTAGGCTCTTTTGGATCAGATCACAGGACCATTTTAATGAACCTGTTAGAGATTTTAGGGTGCCGGGCTAGTTAGGTGAGCTGTTCTTGGGTTATAATCACTGGCAATGTTGTAATCAACAACCCATGTTATTTCTACAACGGCCTCAGATGCACTCCAATATCAGCATCACCAGTCAGTGCCCCCTTTCCATAGCCACCACAAGCACACACGCATGCATACACACTATACTCTATTAAGTACCTATAAAACACTAAACTTATAAGAATTACATAACATACATATTAAAAATTTCCAGTCATACAACATTCAACACCCAATTATCTCTATTTCATCATTTCCGAGAGAGCCAAAATACCACTTTTCATAATTGGTCTTATATATCAAAAAATAATTTATTAATGCTTGTTATAGAATAAAATTTTTATTTTCTCTTGATGTCTAAATGACAGCTTGTATTAAGAATCAATATTACAGACATTTCTAAGACTCTAATTTTACAAATAAAAACTGCTGACATTTTAAGTGCAATTTATTAAGTAGTATTTAACAGTACTTACTTTATTAATTTTCTCTTTGGGATGTGTCAGGAGTGCTGGGAAGTGTGAAAGAGCATCACAGTTCAAAACTACTTGTGTTTGCTCATCAGTTCCAGTAACAATGTTGCCCACAGCTCTAAGTGCAGCAGTCTGAAATGCACAATGAGATGATGTTCTATGTGAAATACTTTCTTTTTTTTTTTTTTTTTGAGACAAGGTCTTGCTCTGTCCCCAGGGTGGAGTGCAGTGGTGCAATCTCAGCTCACTGTAACCTCTGCCTCTCAGGCTCAAGCGATCCTTCCACTCTAGCCTCCAGAGTAGCTGGGACTACAGCAGAGCATGACCCTGCCTGGCTAATTTTTGTATTTTTTGTAGACACAGAGTTTCACCATGTTGCCCAGGCTGGTCTTGAAGTCCTAGGCTCAAGGGATCTGCCTGCCTCAGCCTCCGAAAGTGCTGGGATTATAGGCATGGGCTATGGTGCCCAGCTGAAACACTCCTTATTAAAAGGCTTGTTAGGCACCTTATAAAAGATAAATGCATCCATTCACTCATTATTTCTTCCAACAAACTTATTTTTTTTTGAGACGGAGTCTCACTCTGTCGCCCAGGCTGGAGTGCAGTGGCTCGATCTTGGCTCACTGCAACCTCTACCTCCCAGGTTCAAGCGATTCTCCTGACTCAGCCTGCCAAGCAGCTGGGATTATAGGCACATGCCACCACGCCTGGCTAATTTTGTAATTTATTTTTAGGAGAGATGGGGGTTTGCCACGTTGGCCAGGCTGGTCTCGAACTCCAGACTTTGGGTGATCCGCCTGCTTTGGCCTCCCAAAGTACTGGGATCACAGGCCTGAGCCACTGCACCCTGCTCCAACAAACCTATTGTTTTTGAGCACTTACTGTCAGGCACTGATGGAGCAACAGAGATGTGAAGATAGATACATGTTCCAGCTCTTACAGAGCTTATATTATTGTAAGAGAGGAGTCAATAAACAATTAAGAAGGATAATTTTAGACAGTGCCATAAAAAAAGAAGACAGAACTTTAGATTTAGTGTTGAAAAAATAAAAACAGCTAGGTGTAGTGGCTCACGCCTGTAATTACAGCACTTTGGAAGGCTGAGGTGGGTGGAACACTTAAGCCCAGGAGTTTGACACCAGGCTAAGCAACATGACAAAACTCTGTCTCTACAAAAAATTAGCTGGGTGTGGTGGCACGAGCCTGTAGTCCCAGCTACTCGGGAGACTGAGGTGGGAGGATTGCTTGAGCCTGGGAGGTCCAGGCTGAAGTGAGCTGTGATCACACCACTGTACTCCAGCCTGGAGAACAGAGTAAGACCCTGTCAAAAACAAAAAGACAAAAAACATAGTGCTTTTCTGAAGGAAAGCAGACACCTGCTTAATATGAGATTTCACTATGGTATGAATTTGAATTATCGATTATTTTTCTGTGGTTGCATGAGGTCATTTCCCGTTAAGTAAAGCTTTTTACTCTAATTTTCCTTTCTACATGACAAATGATCCAAGTTTTTGAAAAAATTGAGATATAATTCATGTAACATAAAATTTACCCTTTCAAAGTGTACAATTCAGTAGTTAATATATTCAGAGTTGTGTAACTATTACAAGTATCTAATTCCAGAACACTTTTTGATCACCCCCAAAAGAACACCTGTATCCATTAGCAGTCACTCCCACACTGCCTTCATCCCTAGGTCCCTGGAAGACACTATGCCTGTCTTTAAGATTTTGGCTATCTTGGGCACTTCATATTAACAAAATCAAAACGTATTTGGCCTTTTGTCTAGCTTCTTTCACTTCACATAATGTTGTAAAAGGTCATGTTACAGCATGCATCAGTACTTCGTTCCTTTTCACGACCAAATAATATTTCACTGTGTGAATGTATCATATTTTATTTAACCATTCATTGGCTGACAGACATTCGAATTTTTTTCATTTTTTAGCTATTATAAATAACACTGCTGTGAATGCTTGTGTACAAATTTTTGTGTGGATATGCATTTTCATTTCTCTTGGGTATCTACCTAAGAGTAATTAATAGTCAGTTCATATTGTAACCTTATGTTTAACTTTTTCAGGCACTGCCAAAACTATATTCCAAAGCAGCTGTACCATTTTATATTCTCAACAGCAGTATATACGAATTCTAGTTTCTTACACCCTCACCAAAAGTTTGTTATTGTGTTCCTAACTATAGCTTACATCCTGGTAGGTGTGAAGTAGTATCTCACTGTGGCTTTAATTTGTATTTCCTTAATGACTAATGATGTTGAGCTTCTTTTCATGTGCTTACTGACCATTTGTTATATCTTCTTTAGAAGCCTGTTTACTCAAATATTTTGCCCAGTTAAAAACTGAGTTGTCTATTTTTGAGTAGTAACAGTTCTTAATATATTAAATATTTTAGATGTAAATCCCTTTGCCAATACATAATTTTCTAATACCTATTCTCTTCCATTCTATGTGTTGTCTTCTCACTTTCTTGATGGTGTTCTTTGAAGCACACACACGTTTTTAAGTTTTGTGAAGCCTGACTTATCAATTCTTTTTCTTTGGTTGCTTGTGGTGTCGTATCTTAGAAGCCACTGTCTCATCTACGGTCACAAAAATTTATGCCTGTATTTTTCTTCTAAGAGGTTTACATTTTTAGATTTTATGTTCAGGTGTTTGATCTATTCTGAGTTTTTGCATATAGTATGAAGTAGGGGTCCAACTTCATTATTTTACTTGTCGATATCCAGTCGTTCTTGCCCATTTGTTGAAAAGGTTATTCTTTCCCCAATGAATTGGCTTGGTATCCTTACTGAAAATCAACCGGCCGGGCAAGGTGGCTCACGCCTGTACTCCCAGCACTTTGGGAGGCCGAGGTGGGTAGATCACTTGAGTCAGGAGTTCGAGACCAGCCTGGCCAACACGATGAAACCCCGTCTCTACTAAAAATACAAAAAAATCAGCCGGGTGTGGTGGCAGGCACCTGTAATCCCGGTTACTTGGGAGGCTGAGGCAGGAGAATTGCTTGAACCTGGGAGGCGGAGGCTGTAATGAGCCGAGATCGTGCCATTGCACTCCAGCCTGGGCAACAGAGCAAGACTCTGTCTCCAAAAAAAAAAAAAGTAAATCAACTAATCATAAAATGTATATTTCTGAACTCTTGATTCTATCTCACTGATCTGCATATCTATATTTATGCCAGTATCACAAAATTTTATTTACTGTAGCTTTGTAGTGTTTTGAAAATGAGAAGTCCTCAAACTTTGTTCTTCTTCAAGATCATTTGGCTATTTCTAGGACCCTTATATTTCCATACGGATTTTAAGATCCCCCTTTGTAAAATTCTGTCAAAAACCAAAAGCACATGGGATTTTAAGAGGGATTGCGTTTAATCTGTAGACAAACTTGGGAAGCATGGTCATCCTAATAATATCAGACAATCCATGAACATGAATGTCTTTCCATTTATTTAGGTCTTCTTCAATGTCTTCCAAAAATGTTTTGTAGTAATCCAGCTTCTTTAACAAATAAATGGAAAAGAGGAAAGATAAAAGAAAGGAAAAGAAAGTTGCACAGTAAAAGAGGCTTAAAATATATAGCCAGTAGATGCAGCACTGTATGGTCTTTGTCTGGATACTGATTTAGTAAAATTGTGAAAAAATAATGAAGCAGTAAATAAAATCCAGATACTGACTGAATATTTAACACTAAGGTTTCAAAAAGTCTACAGGTGGTATTGTGGTTATGCTAAAAAATAGGCTTAAATTTTAGAGCTGCAAGCTGCGTAAAATGATATCTGGAATTTGTATCAAAATAAATTTGGAGGAGTGGAGAGATAGAGAAAAAAGCTACATGGGGTTCCACTACACTATTTTATTTTATGATATTATGGCATGAAAGTTAAAAAGTATAAGAAAATCTCTATAAGGTGTCAAGTAGAGTAGAGAATTTCAACTTTCTTTGAGCACTGGCTAAAGGTAAATTCCAAGCCCTATAGATTCTTAATGAAGTCCATTATGAAAACTGAAGATACATTCTGGAAAAACAAAAAACAAAATACAAACCAAAATTCTGTACCAAGACATAAGTACCACACAAAATAAATACAAACTTAAGAACAAACATATGGCCAGAATATTTAAGATAAGTCATAAATACCCTTAAATGACAAATTCTTTTCTCTCTTTTTTTTTTTTGAGATGGAGTCTTGCTCGGTTGCCAGGCAGGAGTGTAGTGGTGTGATCTCAGCTCACTACAACCTCTGCCTCCTGGTTTCAAGTGATTCCCCTGCCTCAGCCCCGTGAGTAGCTAGGTCTACACGCGCATGCCACCATGCTGGCTAATTTTGTTGTTGGTGGTGGTGGTGTATTTTAGTAGAGACAGGGTTCCACCATGTTGGCCAGGATGCTCTCAATCTCCCCTGACCTTGTAATCTGCCCACCTCGGCCTCCCAAAGTGCTGGGATTTCAGGCAAGAGTCACCATGTCGGGCCAAATTATTATATTAATTCTTTCTGTATTTAGCTAAGTGTTCTTTCTTTAAAGTGCTTTTATTTTAAGGTACGGGTCACTATCTATGTATCAGTATCGCCTGAAGAGCATTTTAAAGTTCAAGTTTCTAAGAAATATTTTCTGAAACAGAATCTCCATGGGTTGAACAAGAGAAATTAAAAACATATTCTTTAAGCTCCACACATTTGCATTTGATGTTCAGGCATAATGACTTAGGCTACAGACTAACAGTTTTTCTTATGCGATTATTGTACTTTACAGATTCTAAGCCATTAGCAGATTAAAATATACTATTTACTTCAGAAAGGTAGGAGGAGCTTGCTGCATCTCCTCCATTACAACTGTGGCTTGACAGCTACTGCTTATATCTCTGAGAACTTCTCATACTGTTTTCGGCTCTTTCTAGATGCAAGTTCTTTGGGATAACTATTATGTGAAAGAATTTAAACAATAAAAAATAAATTTAAATAAGTGAAAAGGAACAATTTAGAAAGCCCCTAAACAGCACATTTCAGTACAGTGCCCTTATTTCAGCATCAATGAAGTTAAGAGTTAACTAAACTTGCCAGGTGAGTAAAAAAGGATGCCTGGCAAGGAGGACAAAGGTAAAAGTAGGGAAGTGACAGAAGAACAAAAAGAGGAAGAGTAGGCAAAATTAAGTGTCTGTCAATACTTGTTTCAGATGCCATGCATGTTGCTATAATGAACTTCCCTGGTCTACATTAAAAATAAGTAATCTGGCCAGGCACGGTGGTTCACACCTGTAATCTCAGCACTTTGGGAGGCTGGGGTCGGAGGATCATTTGAGGCCAGGAGTTCAAGAACAGCCTGGCCAACATGGCAAAACCCTGACTCTATCAAAAATAGAAAAAAATTAGCTAGGCACGATGGTGTGTGCCTGTGATCCCAACCACTCAAGAGGCTGAGGTGGGAGAATGGCTTGAACCTGGGAAGTGGAGGTTGTAATGAGCTGAGATCACACCACCTCACTTCAGCCTGGGTGACAGTGAGACCCCATCTCAAAGAAAGAAATTAGTAATCTACAATGGACTCTTCTTGCTTATTATTTATTTTCCTCTTTCCATCACAGATTTGTTGTTATGCTAAGGATATATTTTAAACTACTGAAACTGTCCATCTTTGAATGCCATGCTTAAAGCAATTAGTGGTAAGAAACACTTATAATTTTACTAAGAACAAACTTACCTGAACTTTAACTTCCTGGTGGCTGAGCAGAGGAACCAAATGAGGAACTATTCCAGAGTCTATTACCATCTGTATTTGTTCATTGCCAGCATCAGTAAGGTAAGAGAGGGCCCAGACTGTATCTACCAATATCTAGTGAATAAAATAAAAATTCAATCAACTTTTAAATATTTTCTCATTTTAGTAATTCTTGACCAAACAACGATTCTAAGATTGTTCAACTACCTTCTTCCTTTCTTTCTTCTCTCAGTTCAATTCATTTGAATCTGATCGCTATTGTATTAAACGTCATCATCTATAAATGTCTGTACTAAGATGAACATCTTTTAGCCATATTCAGGATTCCGATCCCAGATTAGTATCCAATCTTAGTTCACTAAGATACACACGCACACTACACAGCTCATAAAACAGGAGAAAAAGACATTCTCTTTCCCAAAGGCTGAGGGATAATAGGTCCAAAAACATTGTGGCTCATGTATAAAGCTGGAAAGACTACATGTCTCCAATATGCACAGTTGCTCAAAACATCTGGGCTAGATGAATATATTCAAGGAGTTCTCTAGTATCATAAGTACCATGTAGATATGCCTAAAGCCAATAACCCAAGCATTCGTATTACAGTATTATAATATAATAGTCAAATCTTTTCCAACCAGTTTGTTTTGCCTTATAGAACTGGAGGCAACTTTTTTTTTTTTTTTGAGATGGAGTCTTGCTCTGTCGCCCAGGCTGGAGTGCAGTGGTGCGATCTCGACTCACTGCAAGCTCCGCCTCCTGGGTTCATGCCATTCTCCTGCCTCAGCCTCCTGAGTAGCTAGGACTACAGGCACACGCCACCACACCCCGCTAAGTTTTGGCATTTTTTAGTAGAGACGGGGTTTCACCGTGTTAGCCAGGATAGTCTCCTGACCTTGTGATCCGCCCGCCTCGGCCTCCCAAAGTGCTGGGATTACAGGCGTAAGCCACCACGCCCGGCCAGCAACTTCTTAAATAGTGGAAGTCCCCTACAGCTGCAAGACATTAATCATAGGTCAATCTGTGAGATGAGACCTGTAATTAAAACAAAAAATACGTACTTCACTACAGCTGCTACTTACGGGAAAAAAAAAAAAAATCTGTGTAATCAACTTCTACTAAATAGCCTACTATTTTTTTAATGATTATATCTTTAAGTACAACGGGCCATTGTTTGATCTTTCCTAGTACATTAAGTCCTAATTAGAAGTTATGACCAAAGGGCAGTATGACAAACAACTGTAACTGCTGCAAATAAATACACAAGTTATTGACAAAGACACGGGAATAATAATTGTGCCTAAAACTACTTCCAAAGCCTTTCTAGATTATGAACTCTGTGTCAAGACAAGCTGGAGAAGTATACAATCTTTAAAACTGTAAACCAGGCAGGGATTGGTGGCTCACGCCTGAAATCCCAGCACTTTGGGAGACCAAGGCGGTGGACTGCTTGAGCCCAGGAGTTTGACACCAGCCTGGGCAACACGGTGAAACCCCGTCTCTATGAAAAACACAAACAATTCGGCATTTTATTTTCTTGTTTTTTAAGACCCCGACTTTAAAAAAATAGTAAAACTGTAAACTAATGTTATGTTTAAGACACTCAAGAGAAAATAAAAAAATAAAAAAACATTAAAAAAAAAAAGACACCCAAAAACTCCTAAAAGGAGAAAATAGCGCTTTGCCATTGTTTCTTAGGAAATTCAAGAAAGCGCTAAAGATATTTCTAATGTAAAAAGAAGATATCAAACAAAAGAGTTTGCACAGGCCGGGCGTGGTGGCTCACGCCTGTAATCCCAGCACTTTGGGGGGCCGAGGCAGGTGGATCACGAGGTCAGGAGTTCAAGACTAGCCTGGCCAACATACTGAAACCCTGTCTCTACTAAAAAATACAAAAAAATTAGCCAGGTGTGGTGGCGGGCATCTGTAATCCCAGCTACTCTGGAGGCTGAGGCAAGAGAATCGCTGGAACCCAGGAGGTGGAGGTTGTAGTGAGTGGAGATCATGTCTCTGTACTCCAGCCTGGGTGACAGTGTGAGACTCCATCTCAAAAAGAAAAAAAAAAAAAAAGAGTTCACCCAGAAAGAGTGGTATCAACGTATGTGAAAAAACCTAAATTTCAATTTGCAAATGTAACTGAGTTTCTTTTCTGGAATATCAACATATGCTAAAATTTGTTGACATAGGCCAAAAATTTCAAGTTACTTGCTCATAACTGTATATAAAAGCTAGATACATGTTTTTAAAAGACATGTCACTAATATGCTGAGATCAAAATCAAAATTCAAATCAAACTTCTAAAACATTATTTAGTAAGCAATATTATTTGTTAATCATGTTACTAAAAAGAATGATGCAAACAGACTTGAGAAATTCTTCAAGAAACATCAAAGGCAAGAAAATAGAGTCACAATCTCATCTAGATTGGAGGAAATAGGTGGAAAGAACACAATACATCTCTAAATAAAGTCAACCAAGATGTCCTGTTTTCCAGTAGAGGTATAAACTTTGAAGTTAATCTCTCTCTCTCCCTCTCTCTCTCTCGACAGGGTCTTGCTCTGTCACCCAGGCTGCAGTACAGTGACATGATCACAGCTCACTGCAGCCTTGACTTCCCAAGCTCAGGAGATCCTCTGGCTTCAGCCACCGAGTAGCTGAGACTACAGGTGCACACCACTATGCCTGGCTAATTTTTTTGTATTTTTTATAGAGACGGGGTTTCATCATGTGGCCCAGTCTGGTCTCGAACTTCTGCACTCAAGTGATCCTCCTGCCTCAGCCTCCTAAAGTGCTGGGACTATAGGCATACGCCACCACACCTGGCCTCTTGTAAATCTTTCAAAGCAAAATATTATGTAACTGTTTGATACAGTAAAATTCTAATTTTAATTTGTTCCAGACAAATTAAATTCTGGCCAAAAGGTACAGGCCTTTAAATTGTAAAGAAATGAAGCAGCTTGTCCAACACTGGTCACCATGCCAAACTGTTTTTAAAGAACCACATGAGTTCCTGATTGTTGCTAAACATTTCATCCATGTGTCTTCCCTTACCCAGTATATTCCTGGTTTCTCTAACACACCAAAGGCTGGTCTGGCTTTTACAAGCACTCAGGGCAGTTTTCCACCTCATTCATACTCCCTGAGTTGCTTTTTCCTCTGCCATCTGTGTTAGTAAAAATAAGCAAAATATATTTGCTATGTTTAAAATCTTGCCTGCACTGATTTTTTTTTTCCTTGTTGTTTGAATAATCAAGAGTTATCTTGATAAATGAAGCCACTGCCAGTCACTGTAACTGAGAAATAGAATAAAAAATGGAATTAAAGGGCAATTGATGTGCATGGTTTGGTATGTGTATATGAATACAAATCCATGCACAAACATTTTCCTTTTTCATCTTTCAAAAAACAAAAATAGCACTATCTGTGTGTGTTTTCATTGGCCAAACTGTCAAAATGAGCTTCCTTTATAAAAAGCACATGAACAATCAAAGACATGATCTTAGTAAGAGAAATCACTACTAACTGGCAACTTTAAAAACTTTTAATGTCAGTTTTTACAACACTAATATATATATATACATACATTATTGCCCACACCAAAATAACAGTTATGCTTGATTTCTTAACTGGTATTACATTTCGTGATATGGGAAAATCTGACAGTATGCTGACACAATGTGTTAGTACAGTATTTCTCCCCTATGTCACAGGGGAAGCCCTAGAAATACATACATACATAAATATATAATGGGACACATTTACTCACATTTACGTCTGTGTGATGAATTAAAACACAAAGGGCTGGAAGAATCTGAGGAGAGAAATATGTAGATTTAAAAACATACACAGATAAAAAACACATATATAATGGTATCTCTTTTAATTTTTTTTTAAGTGTTTACCTCCTGAATGGTTTCCATTGGTGGTGGTGGGTCTTTGTGGCGGCATAAGTTGACCATAACCCAAGTAACATTTCTTAAGAATGTTATAGGAATAGATGGACTTATGAAGGAAAGTAAAGGTTTCACAACTCCAAGACTTATGACATAATCTCTACACTGGGGCCCATCACCTGTAGAAAAAAAGGATTAACTCAATAAAACATTGACAGTAAGCATTTTCAGAAAACACAAAGCACTGGGAATACGCTGCTTCATGTATTTTAACCAGATACACTGTTCAGTTTTAGACAATAAGCAGGCTCCCATTCAAGATTTCTGAGCCAAGAGAGGCAACATAAGGTGATAAGGTATTCTTTTGCACATTATTCCCATCTTCAGCATTTTGCTGCTCACTTAATTAAACTGCTGCTTTTAACTTCTCTCTCAATATTACTCTCGGTTTAACAAACTTTCATGTGATAAAAAAGATGTATCAAGAAAACATTTGTTGAATTTGTACTTACGATCCAGTATCAGAGCATCAAGGTTATGAACTATAAATTACTCTACACACTTAGAAAACTATGTCAGAAAAAAAGGGTGAACCAGTGCTAGAACAGTGATTCTCAATGTGATTACTGGGCTCTAGCTCAGGCCTCCTGAAGCAGAAACTCTATGGGTCTGGAATTCTGTGTTTTAACAAGCACCCCATGTAGTTCTGATTGCATGCTAAGGTTTGAGAACAACTGCTGCAGAGAACTGACAAGTTTAATTTCTGTATCTAAAGCATCACTGCAGTTTCTAATATATGAAGCCATGTTAAAAGGTTACCATAAGTGAAAACACCTTCGCTTGCACTATAATATTTGGAAATAAAATGTTTGTTCTTTTTGCATCCATATATTTGTGTTAATTACAGAATGTGATTGGAATAAAAAATGAAAGATCAAGATGCTGTATAATAGCTCTAAATCTAACATTTGGTATAAAAGCAAGAGTGAGGGACTCTGGATATAGAAACAATAGCATTCCTAATAGTATAAACCCAATGTCGAGAATGGTTTACAGGGAAATTCTCCTTTAAAAACTCATAGCCACTCCTTACTTCCATGTTAGCCCTGTGTAAGGGCAATAAAGAGGTGGCATATCAAAGTAACAATGATTATTTCCATGCAAGAATAAAGAATTTGGCAAAAATAATCTTTAGAATCATTCTCCTTCACTAGATTAGCAAGACCCCTACAAACAGTACCTCAACCCTCACGCATAATAATTAGGTCTCTGAGCTATACTGGGGCACAATACGATTCAGATTTTTCACATCCTTTACTGGAGAATAGTTCTTTGAATTTTTGAGTTTAGGCTCTAGTTAAAAAAATAAATCCTTGAAATATCAGAATTGTCTTTATTTTCCTTACAATTATTTATTAGACAGAACCTGAAAGTTATGGTAGTCATGGTGTTAAATAGTTAACTAGACTGTCAAAAGGCCATGGTTATCTCATGTTGATTCATGGTGACAGGAAACAATATTACTATATTTTATACCTTACTAAATTCTAATGTACTAAAGTCTGCAAGAGAGAAAAATTTCATTTTAGACTCTTCTCAGAACTGTCATTATGCAGAAAAATTATTGGTTTAAGTTTTGCCTCCTTTTTTCTTGTTACTTTCTTTGATGGAGAAAGCTGAGAAATAAAAATGGACCCCACTGATCGACGTGGGCATTAGGGGAAGAAAAAATGGATCCTAGCATGAGACAGGAGGTCTAAATTGTATACATCTTGCATAATTATTCAAAAAATTAAGAGCTCACTATATACCAAAAAAAATGGTATCTTAAGCAACAAAAATTTACTATGAGTTTATGCTTTTACAGTAATACAGTTCAAATTTCTGTAAGCTATTTCACAAAAACTAGTACTGAAGGCAAGCTGTTTTCCCTTTTGGATTATTAGTAGCTATTTTTATTACTTAGTATATGAGAACAATTTTTGGACTAGTATTGTATTACAAGTTTTATACAAACCTATGATGTTTCCCAATGCCCACACTGCTTGCTCACAGACATTCTGATGGGGTGAATGGAGAAGCCTCAGGAAAAGTGGCACAGCATCTGATGCAGGAAAAAATAACAATACTTAAGGTTCAAGATACCATAAACCAAAAATCAGTATTTTTTTGCTGACACTTCAAAAAAAAGGGGAATCTATAAAACTATATTTAAAATATAGCCTCATTAAATGAATTTTATTGGAATAGCATTATTGGAAGAATTTCGACCAGCAACTATTTACTCAGTATCAAAATGAGTTATACAGACAAATGTTAAATTAGGCTTGTGAAATTTCATTGACAATTAAACCTGGAATTAATTTCAAGATTAATTCCTTATAGATTAAGTATTATCTCTAATTTGAAAAAAAAAAAGTACATTATTGAAGTAACTTTTTTTTTTTTTTTTTAGACGGAGTCTCGCTCTGTCATCCAGACTGGAAGGCAGAGGTGGAATCTTGACTCACTGCAACCTCTGCCTCCCAGGCTTCAGTGATTCTACTGCCTCACCCTCCCAAGTAGCTAGGACTGTAGGTGTGAGCCACCACACCTGGCTAATTTTTGTATTTTTAGTAGAGACAGGGTTTCACCATATTGGCCAGGCTAGTCTCAAACTCATGACACTTCAAATGATGTGCCTGCCTTGGCCTCCCAAAGTGCTGGGATTACAGACATGAGCCATTGCACCCAGCCTGAAGTAACTTTTGAACACAAATTTATGTTAACACATGTGGGTCTTTAAGACAGGCTAGTGATTCTTGGGCCATGTGAGATCTTCTGAATCAGAAAGTGATTCTGTTACTCAACTGGATGGGAAACAGAGATACGTCTGCATCCGAACAAAATACTGCACTGAACAAACGATTCTTCTTTGCTTCTGATATTACTTTAAAAAGCACTATTTAAGTATATGTAGCTCAATCATGCTTATAATAAAAAGTAATTCACTTATGGGTTTGTTTTTGAAGCAGTGTCTCACTCTGTTGCCCAGACTGGAGTTCAGTGGTGCCACCACAGGTCACTGCAGCCTTGACCTCCCCTGGCTTAACTGATCCTCCTACCTCAGGCTCCTGGGTTGTTGGGACTATAGGTGCATGCCACCAAGCCCGGCTAATTTTTTTTTCCTGCATTTTGTAGAGATGGGGTTTTACCATGTTGTCCAGGCTGGTCTCTAGCTCCTGGGCTCCAGTGATCTGCCTGCTTCAGCCTCCCTAAGTGCTGGAATTACTGGCATGAGCCACCATGCCCAACCTCATTTATTTATTATTTTTGGTATATTAAAGCAGACTAGCAAGGTCAAAAAAAATTCTAAGTCTTTTTCTAATCTTTAGAGAACATACATAACGGAATGGAAAAAGTGTGAGAGGGAATAAAACATTGTTACAAAATCATAAAATTTACCTAATAGCTATATAAAACCAAAAAACCACAATAAAAACCACCTGAACCCAAAACTAAACCAGTTTGAATAGGATGTGAGGTAATTATCTTTTCTAAGTAATATTACAAGTGTCTACAATAAAATGATTATTTAGATAACATCTTTGTTCCCCTTCAAAATGTACAAATTAGTGCTTACATTTTTAATAAGCTCAGAGAAGTATGCTGCTTACACATTTAAAGAGGATTTTAAAAGTATCTTCTTCAAAATTATTTATTTTTTGTGTTTGGTAGAAGAACCAAATAGTATTCATGAAGACAATACACTCGGGGTTTTACTTCCAATAGTAATTTTCCACTTACATCTCTTGAAACAAAAAAAAGCAACCCTATTATAGTAACAATGAAAAAAATATTCAAGCCATTCTTTCAACTAGGACTACTTTATAGAAGATTTCTTTAAAATATATGATATGGCCAGGCGTGGTGGCTCACACCTGTAATCCCAGCACTTTAGGAGGCTGAGGCGGGTGGATCATGAGGTCAGGAGATTGAGACCATCCAGGCTAACACGGTGAAACCCCGTCTCTACTAAAAATACAAAAAACTAGCTGGGCGTGGTGGCGGGCACCTGTAGTCCCAGCTACTCGGGAGACTGAGGTAGGAGAATGGCATGAACCTGGGAGGCGGAGCTTGCAGTGAGCCGAGATCACACCACTGCACTCTAGCCTGGGCGACAGAGCGAGACTCCGTCTCAGAAAAAAAAAAAGATAAAAATCTCATTGAGAGAGGCTGAGGCCGGGTGTAGGGGCTCATGCCTATAATCCCAGCATTCTGGGAGGCCAATGTAGGTTGATCACTTGAGCCCAGAGTTAGAGACCAGCCTGGGCAACATGGCGAAACCCTGTCTCTACCAAAAAACACAAAAATTAGCTAGGCACAGTGGCACATGCCTGTAGTCCCAGCCACTTGGTGGACTGATGCAGAACGGTCTCTTGAGCCTGGGAGGCCAAGGCTACAGTGAGCCGAGATTGTGCCACTGTATTCCAGCCTGGGCAAAAGAGTAAGATCTTGTCTGAAAAAGAAAAACAACAACAAAAAAAACAAAAACAAAAAAAGAGAGGCTGAGAGGCAATGTGGCAACAGGAAAAACTCCTTTATTTCTACTGATGTCCTATAAATAAAGTGTAACAATAATAATTTAATCTGCTACTATAATTAGGAAATGTTCTCACATTTAGAAAGGAATCAAGTGAATTTTTGGACATACAAAACATCAGTCACCAGAGTAAGAAGATTAAAGCAACATACTTAAGTTGACCTATTTCAATAACTATGTAGTAGCTATTATTTTATAACGTAAATTGCCATAGTTTCTTGGGAAAATCACTATATTTTACTGACTTCTTTTAAAAAAATGCAATTATGTTTGTTAATAACCAACTTACTGGACTGAACTACGGCTTGAGTTTGTTCAGAAGTTCCAGATGCAATGTTTGTCAAAGCCCATGCAGCTTCAAACTGCAAAGAAGGACTACAAAAAAACAAGTATATTTAAACAGCAGGATTTTTACATTGGGCCAAATATCTAACCATTCTTCCCTCTACCATTTCAAATGCATTAAATATTTTGTTTCAAAAGATATCTATCCATCCAGCATATTTTTTTAACCCTCAACAACTGTTTCAAACATCTCTTCAGTATAAAAAGCATACAACCTTCTCCAGCATCCTTAATTTTAGTAAGAAATCTTTTTAAGATACTTGCATACTACTCCCCAAACAGTTCTCTCAAGTACCTACCTGGTCAAACTACTTCTTGCCAATTAAGGCTTAAAAGTTAAATTTATCATTCTCAAGTTCCTGTTTGGCTACTACCTTCATCTCTTGGTGTTAACAAATCTTGCACTGTTTTTCACTTTGACTTTTCAACTCCATCCCTTAGCCCTTTTCTTTTTTCTTTAAAGATCAAACTAATTACTAAAGAGTCTTGTCTTCTCCAAAGGATACATTCTAAATTAAAAAAAAATAATAATGTACTCACTTGTCATCTCTTTCAAGACAATGGACTAAAATGGGCAATATTCCAGATTTTATTAAGTCATCAATTGGTGGATTGCGATCACTGGACAAAAGCTTCCTGTAAGAGATAAAAACACCCTTGTGAAACTTAATAACATACAATATTATGATTAAATTTAAATTCATATTTGACAAATATTAACATAAATCTGAATATCTGGTACAAGTGCCTTCTCTGAAATTAACAATTTATATAATGCAATCTTTTCTCTAAATTTATAAAATGATATATAAATTAAATTTATAGAGATGACAAATAATTAAAAAAATAAGAATATAGATATGAACCACTTTACTACCTTTTTTTGAGATGGAGTCTCACTCTGTTGCCCAGGCTGGATGGAGTGCAGTGGCACAGTCTTGGCTCACTGAAAGCTCTGCCTCGCGGGTTCCAGTGATTTTCCTGCCTCAGTCTCCCGAGTAGCTGGGATTACAGGCATGCGCCACCACACCCAGCTATTTTTGTATTTTTAGTAGAGATGGAGTTTCATCATGTTTGCCAGGCTGCTCTTGAACTCCTGACCTCAGGTGATCCACCCGTCTTGGCCTCCCAAAGTGCTGGGATTACCAGTGTGAGCCCCGGAGCCTGGCCACTTTACTACTTTTAATGGTACAATAATATTATTCCCTCAGTAAAGCCCTGATTGTGACTTATAAAAAGAAAACTAATTTTTTTTTTAAAAAATGTTACTTTTGGACATAATTTTGAGTTCAGAGAAAAAAATGGGCAGATTTCTTCAACACAGCATTTACCTTGCTAAGCAAGGAATTAAGAGGTCACCAAAATATCCAAAATTATTCACACTACATCACAATAGAGTCAAGTGACGAAAGCAGATAGGCTGCTCGAATATGTTTAGAGCTGATATTAGTCCCTAATTCTTCATTCTAGTTTACACACCAAATTAAAAGTCATAAAAGTCCAACATTTTCATCTCAGCAACTAAAGAGAAATGGAATAAGCACAGCAACTGACAGGAAAACAGCCAGAGAGATGCTAGAGAATCTGAGGTAAAAAAGACAGACACATCACTGCTTTCATGGAGCTTATAAGATAAAAACAAAACCTACTGACTATTTTCACACGTATGAGACTACAGGTTTAGCTGATAAGTCCTCAGTGTAGCCTAATCATATCTTCACCCACTGGAATACCCTGTATTACTATATAAAAGCAATGTTTATGAAAGCTTAACCAAATCATGTCCCTATATAAACTTTGTGATGGCTGCTTATTTACCACCTTTATCAATGTAAACTCCTTGACCTAGCTTTAAACTACTTCACAAGTTGGCTCCATCTTATAACTAATCTTATTCTCTGTAACTCAACAACAGGTTAGTTGTCTGTCGCATCATTTCAATCGAAATAAGATTGAACCTATCCTAAACCCCTCACTTGAAATGCCCCGTCTTCTATGTATTCAAACTCTATTCAAAGTTCATTTCAAGTTCTGTGTTTTACATAATACCGTCTTTGAATTTCAAGAGGATTTATACAGCATAGCCCTACATTTGGTGTTATCACTACTTATTTTTTTGAGACAGGGTTTCAGTCTGTCACTCAGGCTGGAGTGCAGTGGTGCTACCTCGGTTCACTACAACCTCTGCTTCCCAGGTTCAAGCACTTCTCCCACCTCAGCCTCCCAAGTAGCTGGGATTACAGGCATGTGACACTACACCCAGCCAACTTTTATATTTTTAGTAGAGATGGGGGTTTCACCATGCTGGCCAGGCTGGTCTCAAACTCCTGACCTCAACTGATCCCCTGGCCTCAGCCTCCCAAACTGCTGGGATTACAGGCATAAGCCACTGCACCCAGCCCCCTATTTTTTTAAATACAGTTTTGCCTTTCCAATTAGCTTATAAAATTCTTAAAAAGAAAGAATTATACCACATGCTAGTTCCTCAACACACGGCACAGTGCTTAGCATAAGTGGAAATTAAAAACAGAAAAACGAAAAAACAAATACTTAGAAAGAGTCTTAACCCAGTCTTAAACCTTCTCACACAAAGCTTCATGAGATCAAGGGTCAAAATTTAATTAAAAAAAATTTTTTTTTACACTTCACTGAGGATATTTTAAAAGAGAAATGGCTTTTATTCTCTACATAATGGTGAATAATACAATTTTTACAAAATATAATATAAAACCAGCTTCATGCCACTGTCTTGATTTGTACTAAGGAACCTGCAATTTTACTCACAGTTGCTTTGCAATACCAGTGTAAACGTTAACACAGTGAAAAAAAGGCAAATAAAGTCTTAGAATTATTATGAAAACCAGTTTGCTCTTGCATACCCCATGAAATTGCCTTGGAATCTCCCAGTGATTCACAGATCATACTCTGAAAACCTCTTAGAGTACACTGGGCTTTAATTTTCTTGCAGATTGCATGTTGATTAGAACTGCCCCAAAACTATCAAATATTCAACTCTGACAACGATGAGCATAATCAATTTCTTAATCATTCTTCCTATAAACATTAATTTGATATTTTGACAAGTGAATGGTTCTGTGATTTTTCTGCCTACATAAAGAATTCCTCTCTAAGAAGTTCTTTTACCTCTGGTATACAATACTGTAATTTTATAATTTCCCTATCAGTTCTAAGTTATTTAAGGTGGATAAACAAATACTGGAAAAGTCTATTAAATATAAAACAGATTCGTGCAGCACTGTATAAGGTATTGGATGGACCTATAAACTTTTGCCACTTTCAAATTCTGTAACTAGGATCAATTGCTTACTTGTCTCTTTCCTACTGATAAACTCAACATAGGGTGTTATTCTTACATTCATAAATACACAAAGCAACCACTAAATTGCATTATGATACAACCATGTCTTCCCCAACCTATTTATTAATACAAAGGTCTCAGTAATAGATTTTTCTGCCTCTTCCCTTAAAATATGAGAGAGCACATGTTTCACAATAGAAATGTACAAAACAGGCAGGGTACGGTGGTTCATGCCTGTAATCCCAGCACTTTGGGAGGCTGAGGCGGGTGGATCACGAGGTCAGGAGTTCAAGACCAGCCTGGTCAAGATGGTGAAACCCTATCTCCACTAAAAAGACAAAAATTAGCCGGGCATGGTGGCGGGCGCCAGTAATCCCAGTTACTTGGGAGGCTGAGGCAGAGAACTGCTTGAACCTGGGAGGCAGAGGTTGCAGTGAGCCGAGATTGCACCACTGGACTCCAGCCTGGGCGACAGAGCAAGACTCCATCTCAAAAAAAAAAAAAGAATGTTCAAACAACTTGGTACTTCCTACCTGGAAAGACACTGGGAGTGTATGCAGTTATTAATCTCTTTTTTTGAGATGGAGTTGCGATTCTACTGCCTCGGCCTTGGGACAAGGATCTGGAATTACAGGTGACCGCCACCACGCTCAGCTAATTTTTGTATTTTTAGTAGAGATGGGGTTTCACTATATCGGCCAGGCTGGTCTCGAACTCCTGACCTCATGATCTGCCCGCCTCGGCCTCCCAAAGTGCTAGGATTACAGGCGTGAGCCACTGTGCCCAGCCGTCATTAATCTTAATCTACATCTACTTGTCTATGTACACTGACATAGTAAGATTGTAATTCTGGATTTATTGTTTGATCAATATGAGGATTGTGAGAAGAATTAGATACCTGGTAAGGATCTGAAGAATCTGACTTTATAAAATTAAACCTATTCATTAGTAAAAGGTAAAGCTTTACAAATAATGTTTTTCTTTTTCTTTTTATTTCTACGGCATTAATTTGTTAAATCAACTTTCCCTGGCATCTGTATGCATTATGTACATTAAAGCTTCAGTGTACACACTTTCAACTAAAAATAAAAAGTGTGAGTTAAAAAAACTGTCACCAATTTTAATACTCTAAACCAGAGAATTAAAAAAAATAATAAATTTAGTTGATCTATTACTATTTACTATTGTTTGTCATCAAAGTTAAATTTGATTAACAGGGTCTACTCCATAGTAAAAATTCAAAACAGAACCCCTGTGTAAGTTATAAAATCTAAACATGTCTTCAAAATTTAACTTACCTAGCAGCTTGAACTGCACTTAACTGAATTCCTTGGTTATCACTTGAAGCATTCTATAAAAAAAAATAATTTATGATGTAAATATATAATAATTAGCTGCTGAGGATAAGAAATACAAATGAAGAGAAAGTAAAAATCCAACTTACTTGAACAATAGCTTCTAGAGAGGTATTTTGCTGGGAAAAAAGTTAAAGAGAAAACTCAGTTAAAAAGTCACCTTAAAATTCTTTATTAATGTTAAATCTTTCACTGGTACTTTTAATTTACCAGAATAACAATAACAATAACTTACCACTCTATAATCACCATCTATATCAGAGTCTTCACAGATATCTTCATGTGGTACATTCCTTCTCTTTAAGAGATGTTCATCTCTTTTATTCTTAAAAAAAAAAAAAAAAAAAAAAAAAAAAGATCAAACAAAGAATTTGAGTTAAAAAAACCTGAATACTTTCATACAAAGCTCAGGCAAGCCTGTGCCTACAAACTGAAATATGAAGTGCCTTTTAAAAGTAAAATTCAAATGTAAAAAATTAAACCAAATTGTGAATTAACCACTCACACAAAACTAATTTGAGTCCCAATTCCCAAATATTACATTTTTAATGAACCGTGAACTATGTAAAAACAAACAAAACAAAAAGTTTGACTAAAAAATACAGTGTACAGTTTAAGCCAGAACCAAACACAAATATTTATTTAAAAGTACTAAACCATTTTACACATGATCTGGGAGCTCCTCTTTATCACCTAAAAGCAAAGTCAAAGCAGAAGTTGGGCAGTTCAAAGTTAGACAAAAACCAACAATGTCTTACAAAAATCAAGGGCCATTTCAACTTCATTTAAAATGCTGGGAGCAAATTTATAAATATAATCTCAACTATAATACTTAAAAGTTGAAGAAGTTTGCAACAAGTTCTTTTCAGGGCCTTACTACTGCCCGTTAATAGCAGAACTATTTAATATAACTGTATCTCAATGACTTATACTTTAAGCTCTTTATATCTGTTTTTACACAATGATAAAGTTACAAGGTGTACCTTTTCAACTTCAAAAGTTTGTCAAATTTAGTCAAAATCTCTCCTTTTTCTAAAGAAAAATGCTTAGCAGTTGAGATTTTTAAAAGTTTAAATTTAGTAAATAAAATTTAGTTATAAAATAAGTTATACATTTTACACAAAAACAAAATATATATTTGGCATCTTCTATACAATGCTCTAATGTTGTTAGAATTATGCTTAGAAGTACCCAATATTAATCAGACTCACCTTCCTTAATTCAACTACAACTTCATTTCGTTGTCTTCTCATAGTCTACAAAAAAATTAAAGGAAAATATTTTTAAAATCACCTCAAATTCCATTATCCAGAGAAAACCACTATTAACATTTCAATATACGCCTCTGATCTTTTCTTCTAGCCATATGGATATAAAGTCAAATCTTACTCATAATAAAAATCATACTATGTAAATGATTTTCAATCTTCATTTCCCATTCATACTGCAAAACATGAAAAATCTCTTTGAAATTATTAATAGATCTATAATATTGGCTATATCATAATTTTAAAAACTATAACATAAGGTTTATAAAAACACAGAGGTACAAAGAATAAAAGAGCCCATAATCTCACCCCTCATATGAACCAATGATATTACAAAAAATAACACATGTACAAGATTAGTAAATTCAACTGCTTTAAAAAAAAAAAAAAAAAAAGCCAAAAAAAAAGCCAAAGGAGCCCTCCTGCTCACCCACAATTTCCTTCTCTCATAGGAAACACTGTTAGATTTACCACGATTCTGACACACGTCTGTCTATCCTGTTCTTTACTTTGTTTTGGTTTACTTTGTTTATAGACCTTAGAGATATTCCATGGTGGTGTATAAAGACCTATTTCATTATTTTTCATGGCCACACAATTATTCTATGACACACAGTGGCCATTCTTTTATTTTCAAATATATTTTTCTCATTTTTAAAATTACTTACTACAGGGATGTGTGCTCACTGTAAAACTGAATGTTCAGAAACAATATAAGTTCAATCTGTTTTCACATACAGGTTCATCTTATTCTTTCTAATGATTGTGTATTATGTAGCGGTAACAATTCAGAAAGTCATATTAGATGTCTAATAAATATCACAAACCTAAATCCAAAACTGAACTTCTGATCTTTAACATACTCCACCCGCCATCTCAGCAAATGGTAATTCCATCCTCGCAGCTGCAAAGACCAAAAACCTTGGAGCCATCCTTGATTTTTTTTCTCTTACATTACATATTCAATCTGTTAGCAAATCCTGTTGGTTCAACCTTCAAAACATACAATCCAAACACAGATCACTGCCTCCTCTGCTACTATTCTGGGTCAACTTACCATTATCTCTCAACTAGATAACTGCAAAAGTCTCCTAACATGTAGCCCTCCTGCTCTTGCCCTCTATCTTCCTCCAGAGTCTATCATAATGACAGCAACCAGAGCAATCCTCATAGGACTCATAAGGAGTCTTAATTTTTATGTGCCATGGACTCCTCTGGCAGTCTGGTATAATCAATGGACACCTTCTCAAATAGTGTTTTTAAACACAGACACACTACATATGTAGTTACAAAGGAAACTACCTTGATACACAGATGTAAAAAAGAGAGCTGTAAACATAAAAAAAAAGTGTGCCTCTTTATTACCACATTAAATGGGATCTCAGCAGTAGGTCTAATAACTACTATAATTTCAAAGTAATGATGACCATAAATGCAACAACGAGGTGATTTTTATTGGTGGTAACAAAGTCACAGGTAATTCTAATATTACTATGGTTAACTGGCTACATTAAGTGAAGGAAATACTGTTTCAGTTATAAGTTAGTGAAAATAAAGATATAATTTCTTCTAAATTTCAGGGGCCCTCCTGAATTCTACCCATAGACTTCAAGGACGGAAAGGTCCAAGGACTCAGTAAAAAATATTTTCTAAAAGTCAGATCATATCATCTTCCTGTTCAAAAATATCCAAAGGCTCTCACACGCTCCACTTTGGACTTAAAAGCCCAGTCTTTACAATGGCTTATGTCCAGTCAAATCTTCCCACCTCATTCCCTCCCCAAATACCGCCGTTTGGATCTTAGCTCCTACCTATCTCATTCTGCTGTACTCACACCAACTTCGCTATTTCTTGAACAAACTGGAAAGTCTCTTGTTGCAAGGCCTTAACTAATACACTATATAGTAACTTCTCAGAAGATGGTCTCCAGAGTCAAACTGCCCGGGTTCAATTTTTTTTTAGCCATACTACTTACTAGCTCTTTGTACTTCAGTTTCCTTATCTATAAAATTGGGATAGTAAAAACACCTTCTTCATAGGACTGCTGTTAAGGATTAAATCAGCAAAAATATGTAAAGTACTTAAACTGTCCCTGGTACACAGCAGTGTGTGTGTTAACTTATTATTATTGCTGCTGCTATTTCCTCAGTTTGGAATGCATTTCCCTTACTACCTGCAGTGCTCAGTCCCTTATCTCTATGGGAAGGCTTTTCCCTTCCTGACCATCTGCCAACTCTCCATTTGGGTACTTTCTCTTTCTCTTTCTCTCTTTCTCTTTCTCTTCCCTGCCTTATTTATCTCTATACTATTTATCACTTTCTAATATACCATGTAACTGTATTTGGTACAGATATTTTTAAAACACCAAGAGTCAACTTTAAAATAATAAAATAGGCTGCAAAATGAGTAAAAATAATTAGCTAAATACTACAGTGTTAACATCTATCTCATTTAATCATTATAGCCTTATGAGGTAAGAATAAAATAATCCTTTATTTCTTTTTAAAAATAAGAAAACTGAGACTTAGAGAAGTTAAATTGCTTGTCTAAAGCTGGCTAGGATTACAACCCAGACAGTCTCACACAAATCCGCTTAACCACCAAGCCATATTGTTTTCCACATTTCTCGAAGTCAAAGTTCAAGTGAATTGGAGAGCCAATCGTTCACACTAAAGCAAAAGTACTATTACCAACACAATGAACTTTGCATAATATCACAATATGAAATCAATAAGCGATTCTAACAACAAAAAACTATGACCTATGTCTCAGGCACAGAAAATAGTATCTGTAGGATGCATGACTTAAGACTGTTCAACAAATAAATAGACTTCTGAGGGATGGGGTATTTCCAGTTTAAGGAAAGTTTTTATTAGCAATCACTTCATCTAAAGTAGCAGGATTAAGGTACAATGGGCTTTAACTTCTTTTCATTAGAGCAAACTAATAAATAAATCCCAAACAACTACATACTGCATTTACATAAATGTTTTGTTTACCCCCCAAAATTTTCTCCCATTATATTACATATTTATTAAATCCAGAGATTTGCGAAAAATTTTCTTTCTTTTTTTTTTTTTTTGAGACGGAGTCTCACTTTGTCGCTCAGGCTGGAGTACAGTACAAGGATCTCGGTTCATTGCAACCTCTGCCTTCCAGGTTCAAGCGATTCTCCTGCCTCAGCCTCCTGAGTAGCTGGGACTACAGGCGCATGCCACCATGCCCAGTTAATTTTTTGTATTTTTAGTAGAGACGGGGTTTCACGGTGTTAGCCAGGCTGGTCTTGAATTCCTGACCTCGTGATCCGCCTGTCTTGGCTTCCCAAAATGCTGGGATTACAGGTGTGAGCCACTGCGCCCAGCCTGAAAAATTTTCTGTTTTTTCTTTTTACTTGATACTCATTTGTTACAACAAAATCTGGAGGTTTTTCAGTAATTTGAAACTACTAATATTTATCAAAACAACTTAGCACTGTAGTAACAACATAAGACCAGGCTATTACCACTTTCACAGAAACTTTGCAAAATAAGAGATTTGACAAATCCCTTTATTATACAGCAAGAGTTTTCTTTTCCTCTCCAAGGTAGAGAATGAACGAACTGGTAGAAAGAAACTCTATGCACCACAGCCTGGCAGCATTTTGCCATGTTTTTACAGCAAACAACAGTTGCTCTTTGGGACCCCATGAAAGGGGTATATAAGACTTCTAAGCCTGTCCTTAAAGAGCAGGTTTTGTATACTACATGAAAATATGTTAGTTGTGAATTTACATGACTTATACTGATGCAGTAAGCAGTGGTGTCAATTAGAATTCCAGAAAGCTGACAAACTGGCCAAAGGCTTATGTATAGGCCAAAGAGCTATATAAAGGACAAAGACTGTAAGTGGGGGAGGTTGAGGACTGCCGCTGCTATTGTCTCAGAGGAGGTGGACAGAGTTTAGGCAGATCACTCAGATATTTTATAGTTCTTTGCTTGTGAGACAGTGATAAAATTATAAATTCAGGCAAAAGGGGATAAGAAGTTGACAAAAAATTTCAAACAAGTCAAAACAGAATGCTAGTTCTATTTAAAAGGAATGCAGTTCGTGTACTTAACGAATATTTACTAAGCATCCATCACTGTGTTAAGCACTAGGGATTAAACACTTTCCCTGCTTTAATGAGGTGTAGATTCTAGTATTTTCTTTCCACTTAATTGCTACTTGATTTACAATTAGTGGCTACTTGATTCCTGCTAATTTTCAAGTCAGTTTTACCGACACATGGTTTTTCTTTAAAGTCCTAAAAATTGTTAATTTAAAATACGATATAGTAATTACTGTATAATTTTGGATATTTTAAATTTTCTTGAGCAAAGTTGGGATTTAGTTAGGACTCAATCTCACTGGAGAAAAAGTTGAAAGAAAATTCTTTCTAATAATACAAAGATAAGAAATATAATGCCTTGATTTTATTTCACCCAGTCTGACTTTCACTGATACCTTAGGAAGGTTAATACTTAGGTAACAGCACTACAAAAAGAAAATAAGAATTAAAAAATTTATACAGGCATGAGAGACCTTCTGTGTGGTAACTAGGATATATTCTAAAACTGAATTGTGATAATGGTTGCACAACTACGAAAATTTACTAAATATCATTGAATTTTGTACTTAAAATTGGTGAATTTTATGATAGGTAATAAAGTGGTTTTTAAAAGTTATACACACACACTACAGACACACGCCTTCCCTCCCCAACATGAGTTAACAGTAAGTATATTACTAATTTAGAGCCTTCTGGAAAGCATTCATTCAAACATTTATTAATCACCGATTTGCCAAGCATTAGAAATACAAAGATGGACCAGACACTGCATATCTATGCCCTAAAGGAGGTAGCATTCTTATGATACAGAAATATAATTTAGTAAAATAGTAATAAGGCCCAAACTTAGCAAATAGCAAGTGCCGAACACCATTCTAAACATGTTACTTGAATGTACTTA